GCACTTTTATCTTGAGGGCAATCAGTAGCTATCTAATTGGATTTAAAGCCTGCCCAATGGGTGGTACAGTGAACAACTGTAAACATAGCCAAACACACATGACTAGAGAGGTCATAGATCCTGGAGAAACCTATGTCTATCACTTTCCAAGTCAAATGTAATTTCTTACTAAATGCTCAATATGTATCCTTATATTACAGACAAGTATACCTCTCACCACTCATCAAAGAAGCTTCTTTTTGTAACAGATAGAGATTATTACAGAGTTCCACAACTGCTCAAATGCAGAGAATAAGTGTCTGGAGATGCTTAGCCCTAAGTGACACGTATACAATGCAACCTCTACACCTCAGTGAACATAGGGGGACAGAGGGTAGAGAGCATATTAATGCATCTCTCCACTCTCATCAGCAAAGCTTCCTCATGTAACAGATGCTGATTAATACAGAAAGCCACAACTACCCAAAATATAGAGAATAAGAGACTGCAGAGTGCATGTCCTTGGATAGGACTCCTATATTAAACATCTGTCAGCCAGGGCTCAGGTACCATTGTGGAAGAGGGGACAGAAAGACTGTAAGAGCCAGGGGTGTGGATGACCAGTTTCCAGGCTTCTGGAAACTTTCTCATGTTAACTTACAGCAGTGGTGACAGCATGTACAATTCCCATGCAAACTCAAACCAGACAAAACCCAGCATAGAACTGGGAAATGGGTAAGAAGCCTCAACCTTAGCTGAGCAACCATTGGCAACTGATCAGTGATGGCTGACAGAGAATTGGTCTTCTTTAAGGGAGTGACACCTACATAGGTTGACCAGGCTCAACTTATCTAGTGGTTGAACTCACACCAAGGGACCTCTGGGGACACAAATTTGACTTGATAGGCCTTAGCATATATGACAAAATGCATGAAGTCTGGTGGGGGATGGTGATGAGGGGGTGCAGGGGGGAGGTCTAAATGTGATCAAAATGTATGAAATGCTCAAATTTCAATAAAATAAAAACAATAGCTATTATAAATATATAGCATGATAATGAAAAAGCCATTTGTTTACATTCTTGAATTCATAGTGGTATTTTTAAAAAGTGATCATGTTTGAACGATGACAAAGGAATGATGGAAAGGGGAATAATCGGGATTTACTGGGCTGCTTCTGTAGGAAGCATTACTGGGGATAAAGGAAAGGGGGGTTAACAATTATTTTATACAATCGATAAAAAAGTACAATTCACTCCTAGCCATTTCCCATACCCCCTGCACACAAATGAAGAATAGACTTAGGCACCGAGCTTCAAGGGCTGCTGTCCTCAGAGACACAGAGCCCACCAACACTCTGATCCTCCCTATGAAAAAGCTCACCTGGGAATCACCTGAAGTCTTGCCAGATGATCAGAGCACATCTATGAAGTCTCTGGACTCAGCTGCTGGTTGAACTTCGTATGAGCTTGTACTCTGCAAAAGCCAAGAAAAGAAAAATAGAAAATCTGCAAAATAGAACAATTTAAATAACTTTTTAAGTGGGGAATATAGGTTACTGTGGAAACAAAAGACGCAGACAAACAGGGTCACTCATGGATCGCAGGCAGGAATGTAAAATGGCGCAGTTACTCTGGAAAATAGCTTAACAATTTCTTCTAAAATTAAAATACACTAAGCACATAACATAGCAATTGCACTTCGGTTATCTCAGAGGAAAATAAAAGTTATGTTCATATGGAAATTTGTGTATAAGTATTCATTGCAACTTTGTAATAATTGCCAAAAATTGGACTCAACCTCAAGTGTTTGTCAATGAGTGAATGGGTAAATAAATTGATATGCCCATTGGATAGCTTGCTACTCGACGAAGAGGAATAGAGCTATCAATAGAAAAAGAGGGCATGGACCGAAAGGAAATTATGCTATGTGGGAAAAAAAGAACTCAAGAGGCTTATGCCATATTAATTCACTCTTGATACTTTTGTTTTGGTCTGTTTTGAGACAGGGTCTTCTTGTAGCCCCAGCTATCCTGGAACTTACTATGTAGTCCAGGCTGGCCTTGAACTCACAAAGATCCGCCTGCCTCTGCCTCCCAAGTGCTGGGATTAAAGGCGTGTGTCACCATGCCCGGCCACTCTTGATACTTTTAAAGAAGCCATAAAGATGGGAAAATTAATAGTTGTCAGGAATAAGGGTATTTAAAATAGAAATTTTATGCAGTTAAGATACATTATGAATGATTTGGGACTATAAAGGGATAGTGTATAGAGTCTTATGGTTAAGGAACAATTCTGTGTATTGGTTAAAATGATAGTTACCCAAAGGTGTATATGTGGTGTCCTATGGACATACAAACAGGTCTACAAGTTGATGAAACTCAGATAAGTTCTGCGAATTGCATCAATGTCAAACTTGATGAAACTCAGATAAGTTCTGTGAATTGCATCAATGTCAAACCAAACCCATCTCTCTATACTTACATTTCTGACACCTCTGTGTGTGTGTGTGTGTGTGTGTGTGTGTGTGTGTGTGTGTGGTTTATGTTTGTTTTTTTACCAAACAATTCTCCGTTTCTCTATGGACATCAAGTAGATGCTCTGGGATTTAACTGTGTTTCTAGACAATTCTGATCCTATCTACATGTTACCTTCAAATCCCACAAATTAAAGGGCTCCTCCAGCCAGACTGCTGCCACTTCAGTTGATATTTCTAAGTCCCAGGTTACCCCTATACTCTGTCTGACAGGCTACACATTGAGGGTTCCCACAACCCTCAATCCTGAAAGGTAGTTTGTTCACAGAACTCAAAAAAACATTTTAGTTGTTTGTTAAAGGGATGTAACTCAGGCTCAGACAAATGGGAAGACACGCATAGGGCAAAGCATTATAGGAAGAGGTTTGAAGCTTCTAAGCCCTCTCCAGGTGAGGACTTTACCAAGATTTCCACATCATTGCCAGGCCTTTGAACCCCGTTGGTTGGAGTTTTTATGGAGGTTCCAGTACTTAAGCATGATTGGTTAATTATATAATAGCCAGCCCACATCCTGAAGCCATGTTGAGACCCAGTCACCAGTCATATCATTAACATGTAACATTGTAATTTGAAGATATCAAGGCTCCTAAAAGCCCTTGTGTCATTGACCAGGGACTATAGGACCAACTATTACAGTAAAAGATATTTGTCAGGTGTAGCAGTACAGGCCTGTTATCCCAGCATTTGGGAGGCAGAAGCAGGAGAATTGTTGCAAATGTGAAACCAGCAAAGTTTACAAAACAAAACTCTTCCTTAAAGAAATGAAGCTAGTAAAAAGAAAAACCTAACAACAAAATATATGCTCCTATTTCCCCCACAATTCTGGAAATTACAAGGGGTTTAGGAGCTTTGTGTCAGGAAACAGTGACAGGCACCAGGTATATATTTCTTATCTGTCACAATGATGCAAGATTTAGACTTGCCAAGAGGAGTGACAAATGTGGGGGACCACCATGTCCATTTCTTGAAATTTTCTATGAATCTGATTATTTAAAAATAGGTAGCTGGGTGTGGTGGTGCATGCCTTTAATCCCAGCACTAGGGAGTTAGAGGCAGGAAGATCTCTGTGAGTTTGAGGCCAGCCTGGTCTACATAAAGAGTTCTAGGCCAGCCAGGGCTACATAGTGAGACCCTGTCTCAAAATAATAAATAAATAAATAAATAAATAAATAAATAAATAAATAAATAAATAAAAAGTTTTATGGACTTGAGATGTAGCAATTGGTATAGAGCTTTCCTAGCATGCTCTATGTTTGATACCCAGCACCACACAGAACTTAGCAAGGTAGCCATAGGAAGGTGGAGGCAGGGTGATCAAAATCCAAGGTCATCCTCAGCTATATAACAAGTTTGAGGCTGGACTGATTTTATACACACACACACACACATATGAATGACTCTGTCTCAAAATAATGATGAGCTTTAGAAATGGGCTAAAGCTAAGCCATAGGAGTTTAGGATATACAGTTGGGCGAGACAACTATGCAGACAAGTGTAAGGAAATGGTTACTGAAGAAGTTATGATAGTGGGTAGTTGGGGAGAAAAGGAGAGAACTGTAATCAGAACCGAGGTAAGTTTGGTGAAGTTTTATTTATACCTTGGATAACAATTAAAGGAATTTATATCATAATTCACCAGGCTCTCCATGCTTTGTGTAAAGGTTGTATGTCATGGGTATGCTGTGTGCACAGTATGCCTGCATACTCTCTGCACATAGTAGATTGCTTTTAGCTAATGCCAGACAGCTGCTGGAATCTGGAGGCTTAATGAGATGGTGCAAAGCTCTTGGGTTTATGTCTCTGCATTAACAGGGAAAACCTCAAAATGATCCAGTTTAAGTAATGGGATGCATTCTAAGCTGTTAAAATTAGATGGTCATGATGGCAGTGAACATAGCAAATGCCATGCTTTACCTTGAGAGCAAGTGCTTTTAAAGATATCAGGAAATCCATAGGTTTGCCTGTGGTGAATTAAAATCTAATGAATTGGCAATTACCATACATTATTTTGCCACTATTAAATTGTAGGTAATTGGATTCAAGTGTATTAAAGCTTATACCCACTTCTATTGATATTTTTGAGAACGTCTTACCTAGAGGGAGCACCTTTATTATTCTGCGTGTGGCATGGTAGGGTGAAATATCAAATTCTTTCCCTCAAGGGAAGGTCCCAGAATGCATTTGGCCTTGCTCAATTTACATCTGGTAAATGCTGGGTGATGCAATAATGGTCTCTAAATGTGGCATTATGGATTCAATGGCTGTCCCTCTACCTCAGTACTTCAAAGCTGTTGATGGTCAGGTTCAGAATGCACGTCAAAAGGTGCTGGCTGGCTGAAGCGTACTATGTGTATCAGAATTGTCTTCAAGAGTCTGGCTAGGACATTCCTCAGAATGAATTCCATCAGATTTCCACCTAAGAAAGGAGAAAATTTTACCTCCAGATTGTGGTATAAATGCTTTATCAATCAAAAAGTGCATTTTCAAAAGAGTTTTCTTTTTTTATTACCGACGGGCACACTGACCTGGTCTGGGGTGTAATGGGGCAGGTTTGCTTTGAGTCTGCTTTCTATACAGTCAGTGTAAGAACACAGCCTGTGGTAAGCACCAGGAGGCCTTCAGAAGAGCTTTCTAATGTAAGCAAGAAGATGATGTTATAGAAAAGGCGGTGAGAAGCCAGAGTGACTGGCAACTCCGCATGCCGTCCTTGAAGGCTTCGCTGATATTAACTACAATGATTTCATATTAAATAGAGAAGAGGAGATAGTCAGGAAAGCAATTTCATGTGAATGGGGAAAAGGGAGAAGAATGCCAACCACCTGGGAATGAGAGCTTCAGGGTGTACTGCACTGGGGGCTTGGTGCCAAACTCATGGACTGAGGCAATGCTGAATAGTAGAAACCGTTACCTGCTCTGTTCTCATAATTTCTTATTCCGTCTTTTTTCTCCTTCTTACTCTTCCATCTTTAGAAAACCACCCACTGTTCTCCACATGTATTTCTACTTGGTTTTTAGATAAACAGTTGTGTCACTGTCCTGAGCATATAGAGATTACATTAAACAATCAAATAGCAGTTTTAGTAGCAGAGGACTCAACTGAGGTTTAATATCCTCTTTGAGACTTAGACATTCTGTCTGAACGTTCTTCTATAGCAGTTGGAAGGAAAAATATCAATGATGACAAACAGTTTAGAATAAAATACTTCTTCATGGGACTGGAGAGATGGCCCAGTGGTTAAGAGCACTGGCTGCTCTTGCAGAGGACCCAGGTTTGATTCCCAGCACCCATACGGCAGCTAAAAAACATCCTTAACTCCAGTTTCAGGGGATCCAATGTCTTCTTCTAACCCCCGTGGGCATTGCATGCCACAGGTGCACTTACATGCAGACAATACACTCTTGCACATAAAATTGAAATGATAAAATATTAAAAAATACTTCTCCATGTTAAGTGTTCCATCTATTTTGTGTGAAGAAATTCAGGCAATAACTGGGATTATGAAATATAATAGTACCCTAATGGGGGAATTTATACATGAACAGAATCATGTCATCCTACTAGGAATTTCTTGTTAGTGTCAAAGGTGATGTTCTGTTTACATAAACCTAATATCATGTTCCCCTTGTGTAGACTTGTCTATTGAATAAATTTAGCACTTGGTTGAGAATTTATGACCCTATGTAAGAAAATTAATCTTCTGTAGGCTCTGCCTTTGCTGTTATTAGCAGCAATGTGGTACTTAGTGGACACTAATCAATTATCATATGCAGGGAGAAAGCAAGCATTCTGACTGGTAATGGTGTCATGGCTCATGACAAAGCCCCCCACAGCACACTATCTTTTTTCTGTCTCCTTGTCTTTTAATTCTCAATAAATGGAATTATAGCCCCTAATCCACACCTTGGAATCTAACATTCCTGTCACCCTTTTCAACGTGTATGAGGACGCACCATTCTACTTAGCCAGTTAGGAGTAGTGGCCCGCTATGAGCTCATGGGTCCACTGACCTTTCCTTGGCCCTCTCCAGAATACCATCTTGGAAGCTCCATTGCCACACAGAGGTGTATTTGACTTATTTGCATTCTGTCCTGATTCTCAAAATGCATGAACCAATTTTTGAATCTGAACTGTTTCAATAAGTCCTTCATTAACTACAACCTGTCTTTCCTCCTCTAGTGATGTTAGACCTTTCTTTGAGCAGGAGGACAGGGCTGTGTCTGCTTGTCCTTTCCTCTCCAGTGCAGTTTCATGCTAAGTACAGAGCTTGACACTTGACTGCATTGTGTTAAATAAAGAATGAAATGACAATTAAATTATTAAAGGAAACTTCTTTGACTTAGAGCATCACTTCAGGTTGGTTTTTTTCAAGGTTAAGAACTGTTTCCTAAACATTTAAATGAAGGTTTTTAAGGCAATGCAGGTGGGGCTGGGCCAGGAGCTGTGTTGATGTGTCTTTTGGGCCTTGGAGGCCTTAACATCCAGGTTCAGAGATGTGTTCCAATGAATGATATTTTCCGAAACTGCCCTGGCAATGACTGAGATTAAGGAAGGATAGAAAGACAGGGAAAAGTATGGGGACATGGAGAGAAAATGGAACTACTGGATGAGCCACACACACACTGCTGTGCATACTATGACACATATATGGTGTGTACTGCTCTCTTGTTTCCCTTTTTAAGGAGTCTCTTTATTGTTGTTTTAAGTCATCCTGGGATGAACTCATTGTAAGATTGTGAGTGCATAATCTGAAGATTCTAGTTACATAATAATTTCTTTAAAAGAATTGCATGTGGTGAGGATAGACAGATCAAGGGAAGGAACTGAGGGCCACTCACAGCAGGGCATACAGACCTACCACTCAAGGGCTTCAGATCTATCTGCTAGGTGAAGGGGAGCAAGAAGGGTCCTAGACCAGTCCCAGTGAGGCAGGCACACAAGATTGCTCACTCTGGCCAGCAACAGTCTCTCAACTAAGGACAGCAGAAAAAGTACAGAGCACAACTAGGAAAGAGAGACAGAGCCTGGGAGAAGGTATCAGTGTGCATGCTAATGCTTTAACCAAGTTGGAG